CCGCAGACGGGCTAACGTCGGTCCTTGCCTGCCGCAGACGGGCTAACGTCGGTCCTTGCCTGCCGCAGACGGGCTAACGTCGGTCCTTGCCTGCCGCAGACGGGCTAACGTCGGTCCTTGCCTGCCGCAGACGGGCTAACGTCGGTCCTTGCCTGCCGCAGACGGGCTAACGTTCTGCCGTACGTTGTTTGTTGTGGGTTTTTATTAGTAGCCAAGCATTTTTGTCACTAAATAAAGCTTCATGTTCTGATTCAGACTTACTGTTGGCTCCTATTTTCTCTCTGTATTGAAGAAAGAGGAGGCCTCTGGATCAGAGCGCGGCCGTCCACGGCTCGGTCCTTCGTCTCAGCCTGCTGAAGGGCATCTCTGCCCAGATGGTCGCTGCTTCAGTAAGACCAGAAATATGAATCAAACAGGAAAACGTTTCCCTGCTGTTATGAGGTGATGATAGATACTCTTCTTCTTCCTTCAGGACAAAGTGGACGCCGGGCTTCCCACCGCCATAGTAAGGATCTGGCTGTTCTACACCTAAACTCTTTGCTAGCAGACAGACAGGCTGCTGCGACCCAATCCGATGTTTCCTAAACTCTGCGCTCTTGTCTGCTTGTTCTCTCAGGCCATGTCTGGAGTTATCGCTGTAGGAACATCTCATGGTCTCGCCTTGGTATTCGGTGAGTCCAGGTCCTTTCTATTCGTTGTTCAGCCTTATTTTCCTGCTTATTATTGTATTTTTTATGTATTTTTAGTTCACCTTTTTTTTTAAGAGGTATTCAATTAACAAAAGCATCTTTTGTTAGATGACTTAAAAACCGATAAATGATTGAAGTGACCCATGATCAATCACTAGAATAATCGATTGATGCTGCACTTCTTGTAAAGATCAGGTTCATCAGCATTTCAGTAAAAAATATTAAAAAAAAAGTGAGAATGAATAAGGCAGGACTTTATCTAGAATATCAGCATTCCTGGTTAGACATCATTAGGCAGCAGGATGTATGGGGTTAGATGGCCGTCAATAAACACATATGCAGACGTGTCGGCATTTGTTAACATAAGTCAGTAAAAGTTCATGTAAAATTTGTTATTATTTCTGGATGTCAGCTCCTAGAGACATATGACCGCAGATGTTTTATCTTTGAGTAGTTTAGAAGTAGCACAGATTTACACATGTGGGTCTAAAACGCCTTAAGAAGCTGTTTCCCTCCTTTCCATTTGGTGGCGGTAACGCATCGGTAGGTTTATTGGCCAACCGCTACTGAGTGAGAAGAGGAGGAAGAAGACCATAAGAGACCCATCGATTGCACGTCATTTCTTTGCTAAAAGGTTGTTTTAAACTCCTAAGCAGTATAACTCCCTGTAAAGTCTCAGCTTCACCAGGGGTCTGTTCTTTTCTTTGAAATGAATTGAAAATCATAAAATGATTCCTACAAAACACAACAATAGTCCCTTCATATTAAAGGCTCCCAGAGAGGAAGTTGCCTCAGTTTTTTTTTTTTCATTTATTGATTTTCCAGAACTGTCTCATGCAAATATGTAAAGCAGTCGTGGTGTGGCCCAGTTCCCACATCTAGACTCAACATGTAGTTTCCCTTTTCCCTGTTTGATAAAGGTGTTCTGGAGTCTAATGAACAAAAAACAGGAGAACATCAGAAATCTATGAGCTGCATCATAGATCTAGCTTCCTGTGTCCATTTAGAGCCTCCGTTGTATCGTTTCCATAAAGTTTTATTCTTGTTCTAGAACGCGGCCTCAGAACAGAGGATTTCAGACATTTCTTAGAAGTCAGACATAGAAATCTCAGCCGATGGGTCCAAATCCCAATCAGCCCCCAGAAAACGTTTCTAACATCCATCTGCGTCGATGTGATAAAAGCTGACTAATGTCTCTTTGTTGTGCTGACACATCGATGGCCCGGCGCGGGCAGGAAAAGGTATGGCTCCGCCTGTTTAATGGCTGTTCTCTTGTTTTCTGCCTGCTGGAAGCATCGTGTCCCGTTTGAACCTTTGCTTTGTTGGTGTCAGTTTGAGGCATGCGCCGCATCCGTCGTTTCTGAAATCTGTATGAAGAGGCTGTTTGTAAACCAGGGCCTGAATTTCTCCTCAGATACCAACCAGGCTCTGCGGCTGTGTCTGGGCAGCAAGACGACAGGAGCAGAGTTCGGCGCCGTGTCCGCTCTCAGCATCAACCACGACTGCTCTCGTCTTCTGTGTGGATTTGCTAAAGGCCAGGTATGTCTGAGCTCAATCCAGACCAGCTGAGGCGGCAGGGCGGCGGGTTCTGGGTCCACCTGTAGTTCCGTCCTCCTAACTCAGCTCATCCCAGATCTGTTTAGTTGTTTATCTATGAAGGTTATTTTGATTCAAAACTATTTGAGCATTGTAAGTGTGAATTTAAAGTTGTAGAGAGAGTTACATTCTAATTTTTGTATTTGTAGAATAATAAAAAAATATATATATATTCACAGGCACACATTTTTTTTGCGCCTGTTCAAATTTTAACTACAAGTAGACAAATTCTGTTCTACAGGTTGCACATCAAAAACATCTTACCTTCTCAGTTTTACTCCAAATGGTCCAGAACTAATGTTGCAAACTATTTGTGCATTGTAACTTGTTTTGTAATTGTAGATTTTTTTTTAATCTGTCCCAATTACAAAAAAATTTACACCTCTTCAAATTCTTGAATACAAGTAAACAAATTGTGTTCTGTGAGTTCCACATCAGTTTTGCTACAGTTGATCTAAAACAAATGGTGCAAAACAAATTCAAATACTTATATTCAAATGTTAAATATATATATATATATATATATATATATATTAGTGCTGTCAAAATGATCGCGTTATTATCGCGTTAACGCGAGGCCATTTTAACAGCGATAATTTTTTTAACGTGAGATTAACGCTATGTGGTTTTATGGTACAATTTTCCAAG